ATAAAGCATTGGTAGTGTAGTGTATTACAAGATGGAGTCGGTTCCGACCCATAGCGACCCTGTACAGGGTTTATGAGGAGCAGCTGGTGACTTTGAACCACTGACCTTGTCTGGACTTCAAAGTTGGTTTGATCCACGGCAGTTCAAGCTTACCAGCTGTTCCTCATAAACCCTATCCAGGGTTGCTGTGGGTTGGAAACGAGTCGATGGCATTTAACAAGAACATATCTATATATATCCCAATGCTCTATATATCCAAAAACATCCTATGTAATAAACGTATTTCTCTGTATACTCTTCTTTTTCTGCATTATTTTATATTAGACGGGTGTGATGCATGGTGTTCAGCACTGACGATGTCACGTGCTAGCTTAGTTGGATGGTGTACAGGAATTTGCGTGCACAACTGTCAGTCAGGCTGACGTTAGTGTGTGGGTGGGAGGCTCTCATCCCTGCGTGCACCATGCTGTCGGCTGCCACCCACATGTGAACTCAGGTTTTCCACTCGTGTGGAATGACTAAGAGTTCTTCCTCAGTGAAAAGGGAGCCAGTAAATGAGTGTGTTACAGCAGTTTTAGATTCGAGAGCGTCACAGTAGCTCTTGATCCATCATCAAAGAAACTAAGGCCATTCGGAGAGGTGAAGCAGAGTTTCAGATTTTATTAAGCTGGCTGGCTTAGAGGAGCTAGCTTCTCCAGATTCTGAGCGCCGAATACAGGACAGTGCAGACTTACATGGGGTCTGAATTGGGGAGGGGTTAGGTTGCAGACCTGTTTGAAGAAAGGAGGAAAACCAGAGGATTGGTCCCACTCAGTAACCTGATTAACATTTTAGCTTGCCTGCAGGGTGGAGAGGGCAGTGAATGTTTTATCTTTTCCTGTTCAAGTGTAGAGGTTTCAGTTAGAACTGATGTTCTACATAAACTGAAGAGGAACGTGCAGAATTCACTTCAGTCACAGACATTCTGACTAGGCCTCAAACACATAGTATCTGAAAGCAAGAACTGAACGTCATGCCGGTTTTAGGGGCCCAATGCTATCTGTCAAGTCGGCTGAGCTACAATTCTTGATGGTTTGAAAGACACCAGACACTGCTCTTCCACCATGAGACAGAATGGGATCACTGTCCAGGATCGGTCGCAAGTCAGCAGTTAATCCAGGAGAAGAGAAGTCTCTTTGAGGATGTGCCCTGCCTCCACTTGTAATTGGATATTCTGGCAAAGTCCACTCTCCATCTTACTCGTTGACCTCTGGTGTCTGGGCCAACAGCCTGGAGAAATCTCTGGCCAGCCACCTCACCTGCAGATTTGGGATTCACCAGACTTTGTGAATGTGGGGGCCATGCCCTTGAAACAAATCTCTCTCCATACATCTCTATCCATCCATCTATGTGTGTGTGTCACTGAGTTTGGCACTTTGGAGACCCCAGATTAACACAGCAAACCACCAACAGTCTTTACAGAAGCAGATAACAGTAACATCAGCTACAAGACTCACAGAACCCCAATGGACAATGTCCGCTCCCTATTAAAGATTGGACACAATAAAATTCTCTGTAAGGAAAGCTGTAAGTCATTTTCAAAGTCATTTCACTGAAAACGACTTCTCCTTTTGAACATGTGCATATGACTATTTTTATAGTCTTAACATATTTCCTTGCAGGAAGGTAGCAAGGGCAACTGAAGGTGAGCTAAACACATATCACAGTTCAGCCATGCAGAACTTAGGTCTTCTGCTGCAAACAGATACGCAAAACGGGCGACAGCGTTTTAAAGTGCTGAAATGGAAGCATTTATGTTTTATGATTTCTAAGCCCAGCAGGGTGAAATCCACCATGTTCAAATATGGGCTTAAATAATGGTAACTAGCAATCCCAAGTACTCTCACTAAGATTTTTATGTAATTGACAAACGATTCTAATAATGTTATGGAAATGCAGAGAATAAAGACTGGCAAAGGTTATACTGAATAAGAAGAAAAAAAGGACTCAGGTTACCAGATACGGAAATCTATTATAAAGCATTGGTAGTGTAGTGGATTACAAGATGGGCTGCTGACCACAAGGTCAGTAGTTTGAATCTGCCTGCCCCTCTGAGGGACACAGATGAGGCATTCAGCTCCTGTAATGATTTACACCTTGGAAACCCAACACAGGGTGGCTGTGAGTCAGGCAGATTCAACAACAGCACCGGACGTCACACAACCCTCCCCGCCCCCGCCCCCATTATAAAGCTCAAGTAATATAAAGATACTGTGGTTTCAGCACACAGACAAATAGACCCATGAACTGAAATAGGAAGCTCAGAAAAAAAAGTCCGCATCTGACGGATTACCAGGTGAATCCGGTTAAGGTGACAAAAGATTTCACCAAATTTTGTTGTGTCATTGAGTCAAATCCAATTCATAGCCATTCCATGTGACGGAGGAGAACT